AAAATAAAACCCAAACCAAATTAAACAAAAAAGGACTGGTAATGTAGCTTAATGGTAAAGCATCTCTTGGTTCAATCACCAGTTACCCGCCCTCCTCCCCCGCCAAAAAAAAAGAGGAGGAAAATGAAGAAATAATAATTTGTGAAGTACTCCAGATCTGATCTAATCTCATCCTCATGGAGGAATCCTCTTCTTTGCTGCATATCACCAAAAGCTAGACTCAAATCCTGGTTGTGCCACTTTCTAACAAATTACTTTGTGTTTGTAATAACATCTATAAAGCATAGTAGTTCCCCAGTGCTACTGCTCCACTGGTTTTCCATTCTAGTTCTACTACAATTCAGAGTAGCCTCCTGAGAATACACTCAAATTATAATGCCACAACACCAAAACATCAGTCTTGCCAGCCCCAAATCCCAGTATACCTATCACTTTGTAAAACTTAATAATGAAAGTAACTCCAATCAACAGGTGCTTACTGAGCACCTACTAACAACCAATGATGCAGTTTTTGTGCATTTTGCACATGCTTTAGTGCCAATAGGATAAAACTGTCAAAGACAAACCTCAATGATTAATTAGGTAAGGGAAAATCAGTAAATACAGCCTATTTTCCTGGGCTCAGGGCCAACAACCTCCATTTAGTAACCTCCAAAAAATTAAGCACTATGGTGAAGGGGAAGGTAGAAGGAAAAAAAAACACTATGATTGAGGCATTACTTCACAAAACACATAGAGAAAACCTGTATCATGATTTCCAGAGCCATGGACTGCCCATATCTTTTTTTTTTTTTTTTTTTTTAGTTGTAGATGGACACAATACCTCCATTTTATTTGTTTATTTTTATGTGGTGCCAGGGAACAAACCCAGTGCCTCACACGTGCTAGGCAAGTGCTCTACCACTGAACCACAACCCTGACCCCGCCCACATCTTTTAGTAGAGTCAACAAACATAATATGCAAAAGGTCAGGTAGCAAATATTTTAGGATTCACAGGCTCTATGGTCTCTGTGGCAATTATTCAGCTCTGCTATTGTAGCATGAAAGCAGTCAGAAACAACAACTAAACAAATGAGTATTGGCTATGTTTTGGTGCCAAGGAGTGAACCCAGGCCTTGCACATGCTAGGCAAGCACTCTGTAACTGAATTATGTCCCCAGCCCTTAACTAAATCTTATCATTTCTGGTGGGACCACCACTATCAATTTGCAATACCAGGTTCACAGCAGGTTTTCTTGTTAACCTGTGAGACTGTGTTAAGTTGCCTTGTTTGGGGCCCAGAGCTACCGGAGGCCCTACAGATGTAGTAGAGCTAGGGAGACCGTAGATAATAAAAAACCTCTGAGCCTCTACAAGGCTTCTCCAGAGCATGGTATACTATGTGCCCCCAGCATGCTACATGCTTTCTCATGCCCTTGTTCATGCCCACACTCTCACCCACACCCACAGTGGAAGGATTCTGCCCCCAAACCCGCCTATACCACTGCACTCCCAGAAGATGAGGGATGCCAGGTTTTTACAGGGTTACTAGCAGTTTGGTAGCTGGGAAACAGACTGTGGCTTTGGCTCACTCACACAGATTCCAATCATCTAATGCACTTTTCCTAGACTACACAGGCTACAAAGTTAAAACTGCATTTCCCAGAGTCTCTTGAGCAAGGTTCCAGATATGATTCTTATTGGTCAATCAAATATACTCTCATGAATATTACATAGGGAACAAAGCTGGGTGAGGAAAAGGGCAGAGTGCAGGACATGGTTCTGGAGCCAGTAGCTTTATCAGTGACATCTTGACTGAACAGGCAGCTTTCTGATCCTGGAAAGAACAGGCAGCTCCCTTGGTGGCCTCTGGAAATCATTGTAGCTCTGGAAATAATTCCTGGAAATTCAATCTAGTGTGTTTCTTTAGTCTTCCTAACAATTCTGTGAATCATGTAATATCCTGTAATAATAAGTTTCTTTCTTTTTAAATTAGTTAATAGCCTATTTTGTTTTTTATAAACAAACTCTAAACAACAAACTTTCTTAGATCAAACAAGTATCAGGTGATGGAGCTCAGACTTAAACCCAAATCAATCTACCATGGAAGCCTCATTTGCTCAGTCACTATTCTATACCACTGAAGTTCTGGGAGGATGCCATTTTCCTTTATGTCTCCTGGCTCTTCATATGTTTGCTGTAGCTGAATTTTCTTCTATGCCTGGACTATCAAACTGACATGCTCAGTCATCATTCCACACTAGCTAAAGGGTCTTCTTTTCATTTTTTTGGCACCAGGGATTGAACTCAGGGGTACTCAACTACTAAGCCACATCCCCAGCCCTATTTTGTATTTTATTTAGAGACATGGTCTCACTGAGTTGCTTGGCACCTTGCTTTTGCTGAGGCTGGCTTTGAACTTGTGATCCTCCTGCCTCATACTCCCCAGCTGCTGAGAATACAGGAATGCACCATGGTGTCTTGCTAAATGATCTTTTAAAAACATTCCTGATCAATACCACACTAATAAGCTAGGGAGTTTCATCCACTATTCTATAGCACCTATGCTTTTCTCCACTGTAGTATTCACCAGTCAATTATTTCTCATCTGGGTCCTGTAATAAATAGTAAGTACCTTGAGAACAAAGGCCATTTCATATTTCTCTCTAACCTCAGCCTCTTGAAGAAAGCCATAGTTAATGCTGCTAAGTGAATACAAGAGTGAATAATACAACATGACCTGAAACAAAAGGGTCAATAACTTGAAGAATGGTTCAGTTGGACTGCTTCAAAACATGTGAAGGTGCAATGATGTACAGGAGAGCATTAGTAAAACATAAATCACTGCTTTCTACCATCATAATTCTTTGTCTATGTCCACCTTGCTTACATGAGCTCCCTCCCATAGGACAGGATCCTACCTAGCTGATCAGCATCTAGCATAGAGCTTGCTTCTCTATGTATTAATAATTATAACTGAATATTCTACAGGGAAGATCAAAAGAGATCTCCACCAAGCTACAAATGATATCACATTTTTCCTTCTTTCTTTTTGGTATTGGAGATTGAACCCAGGAATGCTTTAACACTGAGCTACATCACCATTCCTTTTTTTTTTTAGTTGTACATGGACAGAATGCCTTTATTTTATTTGTTTATTTTTATGTGGTCCTGAGGATAGAACCCAATGCGTCATGCATCCTAGGCAAGCTCTCTACCACTGAGCTATAGCCCCAGCCCTCACCATTCCTTTTTAATTTCTTTTTTTAATAACTTTTATCTATCTATCTATCTATTTATTTATTTATTTTTATGTGGTACTGAGGATCAAACCCAGGGCCTTATACATGTGAGGCAAGCACTCTACCGCTGAGCCATAACCCCAGCCCCTCCTTTTTAATTTCTTATTTTTAGAAAGAGCCTTACTAAGCTACAGAGGCTGGACTTGAATTTATAATCCTCCTGCCTCAAGACTGTGAGTAGCTGAGATTACAGGTGTACACCACTGTACCAGTTTGTTTTTCTATCTTTTAAAGAGAAAACAATACTACTTTATAAAAAGCAAATGGCTTCAATTATTTTCAAATTATTCAGGCCATTTTAATATGATCTGTCAGAGCCTGTTGGTTGTTCTCAAATATGTTCCCTTCCCTTCTTCCTCAGTAATAGAATCATCAAATGCTAACCAGACACCAGTCATCCAGAATAAAGATTATCTTCTTGATCCTAGATATGGCCATGGGACTTATGCTCTAGTCAACAGGAAGCGCAAGACTAGAATGTGCAAAGTTTTGGGACATGCCTTTAAAAGCAGGTGGAGGATTCACACACTTGTAATCCCAGAGACTCTGGAGGTTGAGGCAGGAGGATCACAAGTTGGAGGCAGTCTTAGCAACTTAAAAAGCCCTAAGCAATTTAGCAAGATCCTGCTTCAATAAATAAATAAAAGGGGCTAGGGATGTGTCTCAGTGCTTAAGCACCCACAGGTTCAGTTCCTAGTGCCCCCAAAAAATAAAAAATAAAAAAAGGGTGGGGTGGAAATGATGCTGTTCTCTTGCCCTTTCCATTTCCCTATGAGCTAGAATATAGAGGGGATAGTTAGATTTTGAATTGTTAGGCAGAGACTACTTGATGCAGAAGATGGGAACACAATGGGCCTGGACCCATGATGCTTATCTTAGCCTGTTCAGCTTACAAGACAGAATTAAACTGTCATCCTATTAAACCACTATTATCTGGCATTTGTCGTCCTCCCCAACTAATATATAAGAAATAAAAATTAAAAATAGATTCTTTGTAACTATTTCTATTTTATTCTAATCATCAATTGAGTCATTAATACAAACAGCATTATGTTAATTATGTCACTGTGACCAAAATACCTGACAAGAACAATTTGGAGAAGGGAAAGTTTATTTTGGCTCATGGTTTCAGAGACTTAGTTTATGCTCAGCTGACTCCATTGCTCTGGGCCAAAGGTGACGCAGAATTTCATGAAGGAAGAGTGTGGTGGAGGGACATTGCTCTGCTCATGGTAGCCAAAAAATAGAGAGAGGGGAAGGAACCTCAAGGAAGGTGAACCCTAGGTATGACAGGCCCCAAGTGACCTACCTCCTCTAGCCATGCCTCACTTGCCTCTACTTACCAACTAGTTAGTCCATTTAAACTAGGATGAACTGATTAGGCTGTGCTCTAATTACTTCACCTCTGAAAATTCCTTTATTAACAGAAAAGCTTTGGTACCTCCTGTTCTCCAAGCCATAATATATCCCCTCCACCCCGCAGTCTGGGGATTAAACCCAGTCCCTTGTACACACCACTGGACTGCATCTCCAGTTCCACAAACAGCGGTTTTAAAAAACAAGCTCAAACCACAGTCTGACACAAATCAACGAAACCAAGTGAGAGTATGGGCCAACAGAATCAGAAAATGAAGCCTAATAACCAACAACAGAGTTCAGATCAGTCTAGCTGAGAATGACAACGTTGATGTAGTCCAAGGAAGCAGAAACTAACTTACCTGATGGTGAACTCTAGCAGCTCCTGGGCTCCCTGAGGGTCCAGATGCTGGAGACTATACACTCTTTCAAGGCTTTGCTGCAGGAACTGCTGGGAAGGATCCTCATGGGGTGTAATGTTGGGAGAGACCGCTGGTGACACTAGTTTTCTACCTGGCAACTAAGCAAACATAGTGGGATAACAACTCCAACAAGTTCTTTGACTCAGTTTGTGGTAACAAAAGAAACAACAACAAAATGTGAGCCAAACAAAGCAAGAAAAAAGTCCAGGAGGTTCTGTAAATAACATTTTTCCACTTCTACATCTACAGTGAGGAGCAGGTTTCAGGGATAAAAGAGAAAGGCAGAGAGAATATGAGAATGCAAATATGGTCTATCCAATACAGTCATAGCTGCCAGAAGAAAAGGCAGCTATGGTACAATACTATTTTTTGCTGTGAATGGGACTAAAAATTAATCATTGCTACATTTGTCTTTAAACTTCATTCTTCATTTCATGCAAATGTTTCATCCAAATGTTTATGTCATATGCTATAAAAATACTTTATATGAGTATAATGATAACTTTTGTTCATACTGTTAAGAGACTGCCTTTCAAGAAAGGGCTGGGAGTTGTGGCTCCATGGTAGACCACTTGCCTAGCAAGTGTGAGGCACTGGGTTCAATTCTCAGCACCACATATAAATAAATGAATAGATTAAAGGTCCATCAACAACTAAAAAAAAGAAAGAAAGAAAGGGGGGCTGGGATTGTGGCTCAGTGGTAGAGCACTCCCCTAGCACGTGGGAGGCCCTGGGTTCAATCCTCAGCACCACATAAAATATATAAATAAAATAAAGATATTGTGTCCAATTACAACCAAAAAATAAATATTAAATTTTTTTTTAAAAAAAGAAAGGGATGGGGAGGGGAAATCAAAGAGGATTTCACTTTTGATTTTGTATTTTCTATAATTTAAATTTTCTAACCACAGGCATATATTGTTCTAAATAAAATCATTTGGCGTTACCCAAACTGCAATGAGTTAATACAAATAGACAGCTTTTAAGCTGTTCAGCACACAGCATTTACTAAATATGTGCTATTATTATCATTATAATCCATTTCAAAACATTTCATCTCTAGATTAAAAAATGTTTTATTATTAAAAAGTAAACACCTGTTCAAATATAACAAGTTTATCTTTAGTCTAAAATATAACCTCTTGTCCCCGATTCTTTTTTTCTTGCCTAACATTATATAACTGGAAACCCAAGAATAGGGACTGGGGGGTGAAGCTAGCATACCCTGGTTTGATCCCCAGCACTGCCCAAAAAACAAACAAACAACAATAGGGAAAAAACAAAAAAAGGATATAGAAGAAAAAAAAAAAAGGATCACTTTGGTTAGTAAAACTTTTAGGTGTTTAAATATGAAGTTCCTTCTTTTCATGACTTTGGCTTTTCTTTCTACAGATTTTATAATGGGAGAAAAATTAGAAATTAAAAGATAAATATGCCTTAAAGCCTCCATGTTTCCCTATGGCAGAGACTAAAATGTGCTTACCTAAAAAAAGGATATAGAAGCAAAAAAAGAGAATAAATGAGTTTCCAGAGAATATGAAGTCAATTCTCTGCTGTTTAATAACCACAAAGCACCAAAAAATCAAAAGCAAGGAGATGTTTTCAACATACCCTCAAGGCAGGAACAAGATGAGAAAGACTATCTCGGAGGTAGGCATAGTGTCTGAAGGTGTGATCTGAGAATAATGCTGGCATTGTTGGACAGGTTTTAGCAGCATTGAAAATAAGCACCAAAACTGCAATATCTGATGGTTAAGTGGGTTAAGGAAGCTTGCAAGTATAAAAAGTTGAGCTTGGCCAAAATCTGGCACCCCCACTTCCCAGTACCCAAATTCCCACTAAGAGACTATGATTTTCTGATAATTAAAGAAAAGCAAATTCAAACAAGGAGATACATTCCCAGACTCCACCCCTACCCCAATTCCCAAAGTTTTTTTTTAAAAAAATGCCCAATGCTACTGAGTGTATAAAAAGATATAAAGTCTAGGTATACTGCCTATTAAAATATATCCTGGCACAACCCCTTTGGATAATAGTTTGGTACTAGGCATTGCAAGTATTATGAATGCTGCCAGATACGTTGGTGCAGGCCTATAATCCCAGCAGCTCAGGAGGCTGAGGCAGGCAGATCGTAAGTTCAAAGCCAGCCTCAGCAACTTAGTGAGACCCTAACTAAGCAACAAGACCCTATTCTCAAAAAATAAACACACACACACACACACAGTGTTTATAAAGAATTTACAATATTGTATATTTTTCATTATATTTTTTTCATTATACATTTTTTTAAAAGCAGGCTGTTTTTAAAAAAGAGGACAAATATTTTTCATTATACGTTTTTAAAAAAGAGGACATGGCAGTGGCTAACTATTTTCAAATATTTGTTAATGAAATAAACCGTGATAAAATAATAAGAGCAAATTTACAACCCCAAACTTTACAAAAAGAAAAAAAAAGAAAGAAATTCATCAAAATAATAATATATTATTTTGCCCTGGGTGCTGTAGCATGTGCATGCAGACCCAGCAACTCAGGAGGCTGAAGTGGGAGGATCACTTGAACCAGGAGTTTAAGACCAGCCTAGACAACATGGCAAGGCACCATCTCAAAAAAAAAAAAAAAGAAAAGAAAAAAGGATCACTTTGGTTAGTAGAACTTTAGGTGTTTAAATATGAAGTTCCTTCTTTTCATAACTTTGGCTTTTCTTTCTACAAATTTTATAATGGGAGAAAAATTAGAAATCAAAAGATAAATATGCCTTAAAGCCTCCATGTTTCCCTATGGCAGAGACTAAAATGTGCTTACCTAATATTTACCCTTCCTTTTTCCTAACTAATAGAATTTTATTCCAGTTAGCCTCTAACTTCTTGCCTAGAACCTGGACCTGATAAATAAGTGTTGTAAGCAATCTCGGACAACTAAAAGTGGTAGAACAGAAGGTGTCTGGATCACCAAGAATAATGTGGAAGCTGCTATAATATGGAACAGGACTGAACAGTTTTAGTTTTACCTCCAGATTTTTCTTGCATTGGAGAAAAATAAACATATTAATTTGTTTAAGCAACATTTGGGGGCAATCTCTTGTTACTTACAGTCAAATTTAATTCATAAGCAATATTATCTTCCAACTACAAAGAATCTTCCCAAAATAGGCTTCAAAAAAAATTTTTTTTTTAATTAGGGCATTATAGTTATACATCACAGGGTTCATTCTGACAAAGTCATACATGCATGGAAGTCGATTTACTCCATTTCAGTCTCCATTCCCCACCTTTTCACTTCCCTCCTCTCTCCCCTATTCTTCCTCTACTGTTTATTAAAAAAAAAAAAATTGTCGTTTATTGGACAGAATGCCCTTATTTTATTTGTTTTATTTTTATGCAGTGCTAAGCATTGAACTCAGTGCCATACACATGCTAGGCAAATGCTCTGCCACTGAACTACAGCCAGCCCCCATTTATTTATTTATTTTTAAAATACCTTTATTTTGTTTATTTGGTTTTTAAAAATATTTATTTATTTATGTATCTTTAGTTTTATGTGGACACATTATTTTGTTTTTATGTGGTGCTGAGGATCTAACCCAAGGCCTCACATGTGCTAGGCGAGCGCTCTACCGCTGAGCCACAACCCCAGCCCCGTTTATTTATTTTTGATTGGTGCTTTTTACATATACATAAAGGTGGAATTCCCCAAGGAGAGTGTGTATGTGTGTGTGTGTGTGTGTGTGTGTGTGTGTATGCGCGTGTATTTTTTTTAATATGAAAGGGCCTTCGATTTCAGAGCACTTCGAAATGTCTTCTGAGATTAGTGATAAGATTTAGCCTACAAGTCCTCTCTGAAGAATTTTCATTAATACACCTTCATAAATTCTTTCTTAGATGAAACACACATAGTTAGGCATTATTTAATATATCAATTATATAAAGCTTTAAAAAATATTCTCAAACTCACTGTGAAAGTAAACAAAAGGAATTAAGGGGAAAACAACAGATACCTTCATTTAACAGCCAGGAATCTGGTTGATCCATGTGTTTCAACAAATATCCCTAAACCTCATGGATCTGCTCATAGAGCAAAAGGAACCCTAGGAGAGAAGGGATATGCTAATGTGAATGTATTCCCATTACCAGAAACAATCCAGTCCCATGGTATGCTGCAGGAGGCTATCACAAACCAATTGAGTCTAACTGATATCTTGGGTGGAGTTCTGAAAATTAAAGACCTGGTCTGAAACTGTGTAGCCTTGGACTGGTAGTTCTGTTGTCTAGAAGATGGGATTTAAAAAATTCCTCATAGGGGCTGCGGTTGTGGCTCAGTGGTACAGCACTTGCTTAGCATGTGTCAGGCACTGGGTTTAATTATGTATTAGAAACAGAGTAATCATGCAGACTAGCTTAGGGCATTGTCTCCCTTATTGCAGATCAAATTAAACACAGTGTAAGACACAGGGGAAAGTGCACAGGCTTTAACATTAGATTTCTGGCTTTAAATCTCAGATCTGCTTCTTAAGACTCATTTAAACTCTATACACCTGTTTCCTCATCTATAAACTATTTTCCTCCTTGCAACGTTGTTTAGAAGACCAGTGATAAAGTGTATAAAACATTTAATGAGTATGTAGACTGTAGTAGATGCTAAATTAATGGCAAAAAAATTACTGTGAAACTAAAAATGAAAGCTGAGACTAATAACCACCAGGCTTTCTCAGACATACTCTTTTTATCTAAAGGAAATAGAAAAATCAAAACCCAGACCACTAGCTCAGTTGGTAGAGTGCTTGCCTCAAATGCACAAGGCCCTGGGTTCGATCCCCAGCACCACCACACCACACACACACACACACAAAAAAAACACCCAGACCACTACAGCTACACTGTAAACAGATTCCAAAGTGGCCAGTCAAGTCAGTGGGACCCATCATAAGCACAGAGGATACAGGCTGGATCATCCATATCTGGTTCAGCTGTGTCAAAAAATGGGTGGGTGCTCAATAGCTCTGGCACCAAAGGAAGCACCAGGGTTGGATGCCGACTTCCCAGGAACTTCAAGCACCTGAAACAAACAAACAAAAACCCATTTCAATAAATTAATAAGTGACTTTAGAAAGTACCAGGAATTAGAATCAGAAAATGTGATTTGGAATTAGAAATCTCAAGTCATCCAATTATTCTGGAACTCGGTTAATTCATTTATTTACAAAAAGGGTTATTATGAAGACAAAAGAGCTGGTATAGCAGATATTACTAGTTATTTAAACCATCTAACCAACAGCCATTTCCCTCACTTTCCTTGCTAAGAGATCCCTGATTTTCTTCAGGTAACAGGAAGACTGCAAATTGGTCAGAGAAGGTAAACACAGCCCAAGGGTTTGGTCTAAAAACACAGTGGCAATCCCCCTTCTCATTTTCTAGTGAGTGTCTGCTGGGAGGCAAGTAACCCATTTCTAGTCAAGGGAACAAGAGGGGAAGTCTGCTGGGGGACATCTCAAGAATGTTTTTCTAACCAAATAAAAAGGGAAATGCATGAAAAGGAATGTTCCTTCCTTTCTGTATTTAGAGTTGTCTTATGAAGCAGCCATCTTGCAACTATGAGGTAAAAGCAAGGAGAACTGTAGAGAAATCAACCAGGTGTTAATCCTGTTAAGCTGTCCAATGATCATTCCTAAAGTCAACCTTCTTGTTATGTAAAAAATGAGACTTTATTGTTCAAGATGTCTCATATCAGATTTTTTTTCACTTGCAGTCAAAAGATATGAGTCTAACTGATATCTTGGGTGGAGTTCTGAAAAATTAAAGACCTGGTCTGAAACTGTGTAGCCTTGGACTGGTTTTTGGAGCACTACATCGATAAACTATTTGACCCACAATCACCCAATAAAGACAATCTTATGTAAATATTATAGGTGGCCAAATATCCACAAATCTTATTTTATTACTAGAAAATGCCTTTCATCAAGCAGAATTAATCATTCCTTCTGTGCCTCTGCAGAACTACAATTACTGACAGAGATGTGTATCCCCACTACATCTGCCTCACCTCAAATGACTGAGTGCAACCTGAAGACAATTAATAAATGCATACTTAATTGAGCTGTAGGAGACTGTACAAACATGAACAAACGGCAAAAAAGAAAATGAGATATCAAAAATGCTGTCTAGAGCAAGACTCAAACTCCCATTATATTTTTAGTTTTCAATATATTTTCTTTTAATATATCTTCTAGAGAAATGGGAATGTAGCTCTGTGGTAGAGCTATTGTCAAATGTGCACAAGGCCCCAGGTTTTATCCCCAATATCACTCACTCACACGCACACGCACGCACACACACTCTCTTAAGATAGATACATACATATATACATACATATAGATATATATCTTCCAAATACCTGGTTTAAACCAAAATTTTTCTACTTTTAATAACAAATTTTTTTTGAAAATCAATAAACTGTACGCTGTTGGAGTTATTTCGTCCAAAAAACTCATTTAAATATGTGAAACACCATAACACACATTTTATATCACATGTATGTAAGCAGTTCTTCAAATAGAAGTTTATGACTAGTACTAACAATCTGATAACAGTCAGCAAAACAAGATATTATTAGGAGGAAAATGATTGTCATTCCCTGTCTGTAGATCAATTGTCAGCCTGCCTCTAATCTTGATAATGATGGTTATAATACTGTGCAAAATACAAAACAGACAAAGCATTTATTAACTATATAGGAGAAAAAGGAAATCTAATAAGACTCGTCTCTGTAACTATAAAATCTACCATGAAACCTGGCATAGTCAGCACGCAGAAAGCACATAATATTTGCTACGCAGATGAAAGAACAAAATAATAAATAACTTAAAATTGATATTCATTTTAGGAATCAGACTCCTGAGAGTTTGGTTATGTAGAATGAGGTTTCTAAACTTATTTTTTATTTTTGCTTTTTGCTGGATCTAGGGATTAAATCCAGGGACACTCATTAAGCTACATCCCAGGCCCTTTTATTTTTTAATTTGGGACAGGGTCTCACTTAGTTGCCCAGACTAGTCTCAAATGTACTATCCTCCTGCCTCAACCCCCAAGTTGCTAGGATTTTAGGCATGTACCACTGTGTTCAGCTGAGATTTCTAAATTAAAGGCAAAATTGAGTGCTATATCCTCAATCAATAATGATCCTTCAAATAATGTCAACACTGTACATTTATCACATTTTGGAATTCAGTAAGTAAATGAGAGAAAAGTCCTTACTTCCATATGGAGTCCCTATCTGTAGGGTACTTGGTTAAATTTTTCAGCAGCTCTACCAGCGCAAGATGAATGCCTTCTTTGGTTGAAACATTAGTGCAGCATAAAAGTTCATGAAGAGCCTCTCTAATATCTCTGGATGAATCCTTTAAAAGAAAAAAAAAGTAATTTTAAATGTAGTCACTCTTAATAAACCCCAGGCTCCATCTACCATCCCCTACTGACAAGCTATCTTCCAAGGGTGACCATGTGACAAAGTATTCAGAAATTTACTGGCTGAAATTCCTTAAAAAACAAACAAACAAACAAAAAACCCTCTCATTTTATTGATTTTAAAAAAGGTCAGCTATAGGCTGGGGTTGTGGCTCAGTGGTAGAGTGCTTGCCTACTATGTGTGAGACAATGAGTTCAATTCTCAGCACTGCATATAAATAAATAAAATAAAGGTCCATCAATAACTAAAAAAATATTTTATAAAAGGAGGGGGGCCAGCTACAGTAGCCCCGCCCCCTTTTACTCATTGTCCTTTCTTTTTCTTCCTGTCTGGAACTCAATCATGATACCAACAGTATAACAGCCTCATTGCAACTATGAAAAACAACAAGCTAAGAAGGGAAAGAGAGCTAGGGTGTGTGGGATGTTCTAGACAGAATAATCAAAAGAACAGCAAGCATGAAGGCCATTAAGTGGAAGCATGTGTGAAAAAAGCATGGAAGCCACCATGGCCAAAGCAAACAATGAGTAAACAGTAGGAGGTGACTTTTAAGACTCTTCATAAAGTTGGCCTCACTTCCCCCTCCAGCCTATCCTCACCACATCTGTACTAGTTCTTTATTCTAGGGGCACAACCCTCTTTTGGTCTCCAACTGGACCATTTTCCTACCACCACAGATCTTCTACATCTGCTGCTCCTCCCAGAATATTCTTCCATCTCACACTTTCAACTCTTCCTGCCAAGTTAGTGCCCAAGTCCTTCTTTTTTGAGCTCATCTTTAGAATCCTTTCCTGATTGCTGTACTCCTTTAAAGGACCAAGTTACTCTGATATACCCTCTGATATACTCCCATAGAACCTAATTTCTACCATGATCTTAGCTTATAACTAAAGCTTTTTTTGTGTGTCACTATCTCCCTAGTGTCTACATTATAAAGTCCATGAGAGCAGAGCCATCACTTATGCTCATTATTGTATCCTCTCCTAGAGCCCTGCCTGGAACATACCAAGTGGTCAAGAAATATCAAAGAAACAAAAGGAAAAAGGAAGGAGCAAAGATAGGGACTAATAAGTTGACTCAGATCTGCTCAGCTCTAAATGCTATGAACATAACCACAGGATACAATGCTTCCCAAATGAACAAATCTCCACTGCAAAGAGTAGACAGCTAGCTATACTGATGTACTGGAAAAACAGTTTTTAAAGTGATTAAAAAAAAACAAAAACTGATTTTTTTTTTTTTTTTTTTTTAATACTCTTTTTTTAAAAGATGTTGATGAATCTTTATTTTATTCATTTATTTATATGTGGTGCTGAAAATTGAACCCAGTTCCTCGCACAAGCTAGGCAAGCGCTCTGCCACTGAGCCCAAGCCCCAGCCCCTGACTTGTGTTCTTTTTTATTTATTTTTTTACTTTTTACATACATGACAATAGTGGAATGCATTACACTCATTATTACTCATTTATAGTACATTTTTTGTAATCTGTATATGAAGTATGTTCAGGCCAAATTCTGCCATTATACATGTACTCTTTTTTTTGCATTACAATTCTTAATACACATATATACCACAATTTATCATAACTCTGTTTGTATATAAGGTATGTTGATACCAAATCTTCATATATGTATTTTGTATAATGATGACCATCACTTTCCATTATCCTTACTATTCCCCTTCTCCTTCCCTTTCCCTGCCACCCCTCTTCCCTATCTAGAAATAATCTTCCTCCCATGCTCTTCCTCCCTACCCCACTTTGAGTCATCCCCCTTAAATCAGAGAAAACATTCAGCATTTGTTTTTTTTTTTTTGGATTGGCTAACTTCACTTAGCATAATCTTCTCTAATGCCATCCATTTATCTGCAAATGCCATGATCTTGTTCTTTTTTGGTGCTGAGTAATATTCCATTGTGTATAAATGCCACATTTTTTTTTTATCCATTCATCCACTGAAGGACATCTAGGTTGGCTCCACAGTTTAGCTATTCTGACCTGTGTTCTTAAGAACAGTCTAATTCCCATTTATATAATCAAGTTGTGTAGATTTGTTTAAAAAATATTTACTAGCATTCACTATACATAAGTAACCACTTATGGGATAGAGTAAAAAAAATAGAGTAAAAGGTACCATATTGTCACTACTGGACTTTTATTTACAGAGCTAATAATTTCATCAGGGAGATAAATACACAAAACCTGCCATACACGATAAAATATGAGAAATAAAATAACACACATGGCCTGGTACTCAATAAATATGTACTAAGTGACTGAATGAGGTAAAGAGTCAACCTATATGAATTTCAAGAATATTTCAAGAAAGAGAAATGTTGGGCCATGCATGGTGGTTGGCGCATGCCTGTAATCTCAGTTACTTAGGAAGCTTAGGTGAGAGGATGGCAAGTTCAAGGAGAGCCTGGGCAATTTAGTAAGAGCTTGTCTCAAAATTAAAAAATAAAATCAAAGGGACTGGGAACATAGCTCAGTGGTAAAACTGGGTTCAATTCCCAGTACCCCCCAAAAAGGTGGGGGAGACAAATTGACATGTCAAGTCAATCCTCTTCACAAACTTCTCCAATGGTTCCCCATAACACTTAGAATAAAATCCAAACATCTTATAACGGCCTACAAAGCTTTAGACTTGTCTTCTCCTTATCTACTCCCAGATCTCATCTCATACTACATTTCCATCTTTTCTGTATATTCACCCATACTGGCTTTCTTACTCTCCATTATGGAAACATACCAGACCTCAGGTGTCCCCAGGAATCTTTCCATTAGCTGTTGCCTTTTCCTGTAGTTCCTTCCCTCAGTCTTCAAGTTACTGGCTGCTCTTTGTCATTCAAGAATCAATTCAAACATCATATCCACAGAAAATCTTTACCAACCACTTTATTTACAGTGAAATTTCCCCCTCTTCTATCATATTGTTTATCTTCTGCACGAGGTTTATCCTTATTTAAAACCATTTTGCTTTTTCACTGTACCTTTCTTTGGCATAGAAGTTCCAAAGCAGGACCCCTGTCTGTTTTTGACACCACTATAATTCCAGTACACAGTGTTTGTTGGATAATTCTTCAAGTCAGGATAGTATCTCAGCATAGTAAAAACAAAAATCAAACAACATCCCCCAAAAAACAAAAAACAAAACAAAACAAAAAACCACCAACAAGAAGACCCCAGCAAATTCCAGGTGGAAGGGTGAGCTAACTAAGGTTCAAAGCAATGGGGATATAGCTCAGTGGTAGAGTGCTTGCCTACAAGGTGCAAGGCTTTGGGTTTGATATTAACCACCACAAAAAGGAAAGGGGAAAAAAAAAAAAGCAACGAAGTATAATAACACAGTAAATGTCGAAGAGCAAGCAGTCAGTAGCAGAGTAGAAAAATATTTTAGAAACAGCAAATTCAAGCCAGGTGTGGTAGTACACACCTGTAATACCAGTTACTCTGGAGGCTGAAGCAGGAGGATCACAAGTTCTAGGCCAGCCTGGACAACTTAGCAGGAGCCTCTCTCAAAATTAAAAGGGCTGAGGATGTAGTTCAGTGGTGAAGTACTTACCTAGCATGTGTGAGGCCCTGGGTTCAATCCCAGAAGCACAAATACACACAAAAGAAACAGTAAGTTTATATATGTCTAAATTCTTGAATAGAATTCCAACTCAAAGAGTTTATATCTATACATATTATTGCTACTTAGCAATTATTTACTAAGCACTTCATTTATTCAGACACTGCAAGGCACTGGGAATAAAAAAAAAAGAAAGAAGATAGGACCCTGCCCCCTCCAGCAGCTCACAATCTTGTGTAATACAGAATTCCTAACAAATGCTAGAGGGGTCTAAACGAGATATCACAGAGGAGTAGCATTTAGCCCTCCCAAGAATGAGACTCATGGGTAGGGAAGGCTTCCTGGATCTGTTGCCTAATGTAGACTGTGGGAAGAAGCAAAGTCAGCTAGTGGAAAGGGCAATTTTGCAAGCAGAAAAGGAGAATTACACTAAAGGCAAAAATGATGAGGGAAAGAATGTGTAGAGAAGTAACTTCAGACTAAAGTTGAGAAATGGTGGGAAAGAAAGCTAAAAAGGAAAAGAGGAGTTATATTATACAAACCACCCATGAGAAACAATACATGGAATATAAACACCCCCTTAGGGAAAAATACATGAAAAGTACAAATAAGGATGTATAATTTTGGAAAAAAAATTTCCCAGAAGACCTAAGCAACTGGGAGAATTATAGGGACCTCAAAAATCAAAGCATTCAATCTATTTTCTGAGGTACACAGCAGAAATCTGAAACAAGTTTGCTAATAACTAAGCACTCAATTACTATTGCTTTTGTATGTGGGAAGACCTAAGGTCAAATCTCACTTATTAATATTTAGAAACTAAAATCAGTACTTGCAAATAAAATCTACACTCTTTAATAAATAACTCAAGAACTACACACAGTTGTACAGTCTGGAAAGTAATCCTATGTGCATAACCTGGCACAGCCTCTTAATGGCTATAAGACCTCAGATTACTTTATTCTCTATGAAACTACAGGGTTGAACTAATCCCTAAGACATCTTCCTGCTGCAACAGCCTATGATTCACTAGAAGAATAAAATAAAATAAAAAGCTCTTCTATTTCTTCAACTATGCAACCACTATAATGAACTCCTTTTAATTCCTGGAATACATCATACATTCCCTTAAAACTGGATATAGAGGCATTGCTCCCTTCCACTCCAACACCAATACCACTCCTTCCTTGTAAGAAATACCTCCTATTCTTTCTTCCTTCAAGTGTCCACTGTAGCACTTTGTTTCTTTTCTTTATCTCCAACCTCAAGTCAGCTGATTCAGTTTAGATAACATTTATATTCTCAGGGTACCCTGTCCTTTCCTGATCATAGCAATATCAAGTTTATGTCAAATTCCTGTTTAATATCAGTTTCCTCCATCTTGGGAGAGGGACATGTTGAGAGGGCAGAACTGTGCTGCCAGATATATAGATATACTTACCAATACCTAGTACAATGCCTGGTTTTAAAAGGGGAGGAGTGGGGGTCAGTAGAAATTTGATGGAAGAAATGAGTAACAACCTGGAAGTGCTCACCTCTAACACAGCCAGGACAGTGTCAAGTTGATCTTCTCGGAGGGTAATGTTATTAGAGATTTTTCTCATGGTATGTATGGACTGTAGACGCACCTCCTCAATTTCATCGTTAAACATGTCCACTAGGAAATCAAGGCACTTCTCAGCAAAAGAGGGTGAAGACTGGGCCAGCATGCAGAGAGCCTCTACAGCAGCAATGCGAACCTCTATAGAAAAGAGAACAAATAAAAGATGACAAATGAAACTACACATCAACTTAAGAACATGGAGAAAATCCAAGATGGATCCCTTTGCATTCAAGCTGTCTTTCACTCTCTACAAACTCTCTCTACAAATGCTCCCTGTAGAATCTCCTCAATGCTAACTTCATGTTTAAAGGTATGGACTTTGGAGTCACAAGAACTATGGTTTAAATCTGACTCCATATGTATGTCATTAAGTCACACATTTGCCTAAATTAACTGAATTTCTTTAAAACTAAGTTGTCCTATCACAGTATTCCAACCACAGGGAAGTATGTTTTGAAAAGTCGGGTATTAAGCAATCTGATCATCATTATTAAGATTAAAATAGGCTAGCCAGGTGTAGTGACACATATTTGTAAGCCTCACTACTCAGGAAATTGATGCAGGAGGACTGAAAATTCAAGGTCCACCTTGGCACTTAGCAAGACTCTGACTCAAAATAAAATTTTAAAAAGGACTGGAGTGGGGCTGGGTTTGTGACTCAGTGCTTGCCTAGCATGTGTAAAGCACTGGGTTCAATCCTCAGCCCCACATAAAAAAATAAATAAACAAAATAAAGGTATCGTGTCCATCTACAACTAAAAAAGAAATTCTTTTAAAAAGGGGGCACAGGGGGTGCAACTCAGTAATAGAACACCCCTATGTTCAATCCCCAGAACTGGCGGGGGGGATTTAAAAAAAGTAAAATAGACTAGATACAATTATTCTCTTTTTATAGATAAGATTTAGCAGAATAAATTAACTGGCCTCAAAGTGAGTGAAAAAAGAAATAAACTAGTATTGGGTCTGTTAATTTTTTTTTAATGTTTAATTTTTTTTAAGTTGTAGTTGAACCTAATAATTTTATTTTATTTATTTTTATGTGGTTCTGAGGATTAAACCTAGGGCCTCCAACGTGCTAGGTGAGCACTCCACTGCTGAGCCACAACCCCAGTCCAGAGGTCTATTAATTTTACACTAGCATTTTGCATGGTTAAGAGTACATGGTCATGGGCTGGGGCTGGGGCTCAGCGGTAGCATGCTTGCCTAACATGAGTGAGGCACTGGGTTCGATTCTCAGCACCACATACAAATAAATAAAAATAAAAGTCCATCAACAACTAAAAAATATTAAAAAAAAAAAAAAAGAGTACATGGTCCTAGCTAGGCGCAGTGGTACACGCCTGTAATCCCAGTGGCTCGGGAGGCTGAGGCAGGAGAATCCCAAGTTTAAAGCCTGCCTCAGCAAAAGTGAGGCACGAAACAACTCAGTGAGACCCTGTCTCTAAATAAAAAACAAAATAGGGCTGGGATGTAGGGATGTGGCTCAGTGGTCAAGTGCCCCTGAGTTCAGTCCCCAGTACCCATCCCCCAAAAAGTATATGCTCTAGATGACAGAGGTTCCAAAGCAAATTATGGAAAGTGATCCCCTCACCAATTAGGAAGATGATCTTGAACTTAACTTTCTGGCACCTCCACTTTCTAACCTGTTAAATGTAGATAATACCCACTCCCTAATACAGTTGTAAGGACTAAATGAGATAAAACAGGTAACGCATATAGCACACTGCCTGGTATAGAAAGCATAGGTATGGATTTTGAAAATAGAGACTCATTTTCTTCTACCTCTTTGCAGGCTCAGAAAATGTGACAGTAAAGCCAGTGAATCCAGGAATATTAGAATCTAAGCCAATGAAAGGAGGCACCATTTCATTCCCAGCAATGTTCCCCTAAAACCCTAAGTTACCTAGAATTTTACAAATATGATAAAATTAGAAAGCTGCCATGCTGATGCCAGGTTGTAATCTACTGTTCACTCACTAATAAACATTTCCAGAACATACTACTTTAGGCCCTGTACTAAGTGTTAGGAGACAGAGGTGAGTAAGATATGCAAATGCTCACAAGATTTTTACACATGGTTGTTTTATACTAGTGATTCCCAAATGGTTCTTCAACAAAATATATAGTTTAAAAAGATAACCAACTGAAGTTATAGTTAAAACTCAAAAATATCATTTGTTCTTTGTAAAAGAGGCTTTATGGACAAGTTAAAAGTAGAGTTACAGTAAGGGGAGATGATTCAGATTTTTCTAGGTAATTATGAATTACTCCTTTTCCTCAGAAGGAAACAATTTTCTTCACAATAATATGATTTAAACACAAAATTACCAATAATTATAAAAGCAAGTCAGAGATAAACACAAGTATGTTAACTGCTGGCTCTTCTTCCTGGGGTTTTATCCATTACGCCACACTGATTCATGTGTAACCTTTACAAATCCATCAAGGGACTCACAGAGGAACTTCTGATCTACACAAGATAATTATTGTGACCTGAGCTGATGCAATTCAAACAGAAGCAAAGAAACATGGTGTCTGTTTCTGCCTGTGCAAACTGGCAATTATATATAATAAGTTATATTTTTATCATATTTTCTAATGGACTTTCTGGAATGTTGGACACATATCATATACCCCTTAAAAGACCAGTTTAGAGAAAGGAAATCTGCTATCCTAAGAGAGAAAAAAAAAATCTAAAACTATCCTAGCTTCGCTACATGCTAGCTATGTGTTTAACCCTGAAGATATAACAAGACTGTTTCCCAACATTTACAAATGAAGAACTAATGGTATTATAGAGTGATGAGTATTTACAATGGAAAAGCATGGAGGACAAAAGAAAATGCAGAATAGGGTATATAGCCCAGTCAATGGATCCAGAGGCAGCTTTTTGGAACAAATGACCCTTAAAAACATCCCTTAGGAGTTGCTAGTCCATAAGAAACAAAAATGCTTTTTTTTTTTCTAGGTACTCTTTGTATTGAATGTACAATATCCCAAAAGGGAAGGCAAGTGCTGAAGAATTCAAAGACTAAAAATATATGAGATATTATACTAGAATCTAAGCCAATGAAAGGAGGCACCATTTCATTCCCAGCAATGTTCCCTAAACCCCTAAGTTACCTAGAATTTTACAAATATGATAAAATTAGAAAGCTGCCATGTCTGATGCCAGGTTGTGATCTACTTACTTGTCAAATTTAAGTTACTTTAACTAAATCTTAGTAACAGGGGTAGAGAGTAAAGCTCAGTGGTAGAGCTTGGGCTTGGCATGCTAATGTCCTGGATTTAATCCCCAGAATGCAAAAACAAACAAACAAACAAACAACAACAACAAAAAAAACCTTACTGACAAACTGGAAACTATATTATAAACTAAATCACATAAACATTAATAATGGAGAAATTCAAATGTAGAAACTAAACAAAGCAAAAAAATGGTAACAGAAACAAAATATAATACGTCTTAGAGTAGGACAGGACTTAATAATTAATAATATTTAAATTATAAGTCATGTTTCAAGTTCATAGGAAATAAAAAATCAGCTTTAATTTTTATATGCAGTTGGCCCTTCACATCCATGGGTGCCACATCTGTGTACTGAACCGAACTGGGTCAAAAATATTTGAAAAGAATTTTTCATCAATACTGAACACATATAGTCCTTTTTTTCTTATTACTATTCCCCCCAAAAATAGAGGATAACAATTATTTGCATAGCATTTACATTGTATTAGGTATTATAAGTAATCTAGACATGATTTAAAGTAAACAGGAGGATGACTATAGTCTACTTTTTTTTGTAAATATTATGCTTTTTCATATAAGTGATGAGCACTTGCAGATTTGGTTATCCTTGGGGGTTCTGGAACCAATCATCCTTGAATATGGAGGGATGACTATACATGAAATATCTTAAAGCAAATTGGATAGTGCAAACCAATTTTTTTACATTTACTAGTAAGAAAAACTCAAAAACATTATTCTTGCCCTTTTAAGTTCTATTCTGAGGATAGCTTCTTTTTTTTTTTTTTTTTGGTAGGTGGACACAATACCATCATTTTATATATTTATTTATTTTTATGTGGTGCTTAGCATCTAACCCAGTGTCTCATCACAGCAGATGTCCCAAGATATAAAAAGAAAAATAGGAATTATAGAGCCCAATGGAAAAACCATTTTAAGAATAATGAAGTATTATGCCTTGCTTGGTGGTGCATGCTTATAATCCCAGCAACTTGGGAAGATGAAGCAGGAGGATCTCAAGTCAAGGCCAGCCTCAGCAACTTAGCAAGGCCCTAAGCAATTTAGCAAGACCCTGTCTCAAAATAAAAAATAAAAAGGACTGGGGTAAAGTACCCCTGGGGTCAATCACCAGTACCAAAAAACAAACATACATTATGGTAAATACATATGCATTATCAAGTATTATCAAGTATATGCAGCCTACTTTTATATGACTGGCAGCTCAATAGGTTTATTTACCATAAATATGTGAGTGATGCTTTGTGTTATGATCAGGACATCCTGAACTTACTGGGAGATAGAAATTTTTCAACTCCTTTATAATCTTAATAACAATGAAGTCTACTGTTGACCAAAACATTGTTGTATGGCACCTGACTATATGAAGCAACTGTATTCCAGACACTGGACTTCAGGCAATGAAGGACAGTGATTCTTGAGGGATAGGAAATAAATGAGGTGAGCTCTGTGGTTATAGCAGTTAAGTGTGTAAAGAGTTCTAGACTGCATTATCTCCCTGAGAAGACCAAGCTAGGAGTCTAGGGAAGCCAATCACACTAGAAGTCACATATTAAAGTACCAAAAGGAGAAAACTCCACAAAGAAATGGAGAATTTGGGAGATTTGCAAAGGACCCCCTCAAGTCTTCAGCTAAGTTCTGATTTGTGGGGAAACTAAGACCTAGAAAAGAGAAAAAACGAGTCAAAACTAACATACGACCAATGTTAACAGGTTCAGAAGAGTTTTGCTTCAATAGTGCACAAAATAAACCCCAGACTCAACTGCTCTGGTCTTACCTAACAAAGCTTAAAATTAGGACAAGCAAAACGTACCCGAATACAAAACTCAAGAAGATGTGTAGGGGGCTGAGGTTGTGGCTCAGCAGTGGAGCTCTCACCTAGCCGACGGGAGGCACTAGGTTCAATCCTCAGCACCACATATAAATAAATAAAATAAAGGTATTTAAAAAAAAAAAAAAAAAAGATGTATAGGAATAAAACAATGTTCAGTATCTAATAAAAAGTAAATAAAATTCAAAATGCCTAGCATCCAATTAAAAATTACCAAACATGAAAATAATCAGAATGATATAATCTCTAATAAGGGAAAAAATCAAAACCAATCAGAAAGCACACAAACAAAAGGATTTTGGACAATTATATAAAAATGTTTTCCCCAAATTCTAATTAAAAGTCTAAAAGCTGGGTATAGCAGCACATACCTATGATCATAGCAACTCAGAAGACTGAGGTAGTATAATTGCAAAGTCAAGGCAAGCCTCAGCAATTTAGCAAGGCCCTAAGCAACTCAGCGAGATCCTGTCTCTAAATAAAATACAAAATAGGGCTGGGGATGTGGCTCAGTGGTTGAGTGCCCCTGAGTTGAATCCCTGGTACCCCCCCCAAAAAAGAGCTGGAGATATAGCTCAGTAGTAATGTGCCCCTGGGTTCAATCCGTAGTACAGGGGAAAAAAAAAAAAAAATCGAAAGAGGACATCTATATCTAAGATGAAAAATATACTGTAGGAGATTAGTATCAGATTACATATTTCATAAGAAAAAATAATGAACTGAAAGATGAAATCAATAGATAATACTCAAAATAAGACACAGGGTAAAAAGAAACAAAAACAATAACCAAAAAAAAAAAAAAAAATCAGTGAGCTGCAGGAAAACTTCAGGAACCTAATACTTGTCCAACTACAACTAAAAAATAAATATTTTAAAAACTACTAGCTAAAATTTTTCTAAATAAAATGAAAACTACACTTGATTCAAGAAGTTCAACAAAAGCATAAAAAAACAATAAGAAAACTACATCAAGGCATTCATAATCAAATTGCTTAAAACCAATGATAAAGAGAAATCTTAATAGCAAGTTGAGGAAAAACAGACTTGTTACATACAGAGAGGGACAAAGACAAAAAGGACAGCACACTTTTCAACATAAAGCAACATCTTTAGAAGATGGGGGTGGAAAGGTTCTGTTAATCTAGCATTTTATTCCCAAGAAAAAATCTTTCAGGCTGCAGATATAGCTCAGCTGGTAGAGTGCTTGCCTCCCATGTACAAGGCCCCGAGTTCAATCCCCAGCACCACACACAAAAAAAATCTTTCAAAATCAAAGGTGAAAAGTCTTTACCTTGTGCATGTATATGTAATCTCAGCTACTAAGGAGGCTTAAGCAGGAGGACTGCAAGTTTAAAGCCAGCTTAGGCAACTTAATGAGACCATGTCCAAAAATAAAAATTCGGGGGGCTGGGGTTGTGGCTCAGTAGCAGAGCAGTTGCCAAGCCCAAGTGAGGCACTAGGTTCGACCCTTAACACCACATAACAAATAAAATAAAGGCATTCTAACATCGACAACTACAAAAAACTTTTTTTAAAAATTGGATAAGATCTGGTACTCTGTTTCACATATCCTGCTTCCAATTTCAATCGCCAGTACCTCAAAAAGAAAAAAAAAAAGGCTTTAACAGTCTAATTAACGGTTTTCTGGTGGGACACCTGGATTTAAATTGTTTCTATGACTTTCTAGCTGGCTGACCATCAATTTTTTATTATCAAGTGCTTACTATAAATAAATCATTTATTATGCCAAACACTTTACATATATTGAACCTCACTTAATTCTCACAACTCAGAAGGACTTCCATTTTATAGAAATGCTGAAATTTGAATATGCACTGACTAAACCTAAAGCCATGTTCTTAATCGCTATATCATACTACACATTGCGCACCAGCCTCTTCTGTTTCATAACAGGTATTTCACAGACAATAAAAAATAAATAAAAGAATGCATGTTTATCACTCTATTCAATGCCTGACAAACAGCAGTCACTCAATGAATGGGTACTATTATTACTGTACAATCATACGTACCATACATCTCATCTTCCAACCCATGAACAAAGGCTCCACAAGCTCCTGATTCGATCAAGTTCACAGCCCCTGTATCTATTTCTTCCTTAGGAGCATCATCTCCCCACTTTCTGCCACTGGAAAACTCCCCTGAACTATAAAGTTCCTTGGCACGCTCATGTGCAGTACGCTTCCTCTGCAGAAGATAACAACAATTACCACTTGCAGGAGACTCTGGAGGGAACATTAAGGAGCACCTTGGGAACATGAGAAGGTAGGAAATTAAAATGCTCTCTAAAAGTTACACTTTAAAAAACTACTCAATAATTCAGAGCAGGGAAATGTAAACTCAACTTAAAATGAGATAAAAGTAGGCTGGGGATATAGCTCAGTTGGTAGAGTACTTGTCTTGCATGCACAAGGCCCTGGGTTCAATCCCCAACATCACACACACACACACACACACACACAAAGGATCACAAGTTTGAGACAAAAGGATCACAAGTTTGTAAGAACTTTTTTAGTTACCTTATTAAAGAGGGTGAAGATAGTTAAAATATGTGCTGATCAGACAGAAGTTTATGTTTACCATAACAACAATATAGGAAAGGGAAAGTCAGAAAGGCAAACAATGCAAGTGACCATGCAAAAGCTTCCATGGGTACACAATATACAGACTCTAGAAAACAAGTTTTTCAGTTTCATTAGAAATGAGTCCCTAGGACTGGGATTGTGGCTCAGTGGTAGAGTGTCTGCCGAGCATGTGTGAGGCACTGGGTTCAAATATTAGCACCATATAAAAATAAATAAATAAAATACTGTGTTCATCTACAACTAAACATATATATAAAAAAGGAAAGGAAAGAAAAAGAAATGAGTCTCCAGTTGGGCATAGTGGCGGCACACACCTGTAAAATCAGCAACTCAGGAGATGAGGCAGGAGGATCATGAGTTTAAAGCCAGCCTCAGCAACTTAGAGAGGCCCCAAGCAACTTAGCAAGAAGACCCTATCTCAAAAATTTAAAGGGCAGGGGATGTGGCTTGGTGGTTAAGTGTTCCTGGGTTAAACTGCTGATACCAAAAAAAAAAAAAGAAAGAAGAAGAAAAAGAAAGAAAGAAATGAGTCTCAAGTAGGATGTGGTGAAACATGCCTGAAATACTAGTTACTGGGGAGGCTGAGGCAGGGGAATCACAAGTTTGAGGGCAGCCTGGGCAATTTAATAAAACTGTCTCAAAATAAAAAGGTCTGCAGATATAGCTCAAAGCTTGCCTAGCAGATGCAAGGCCCTGGATTCAATACACAGTGCCACCCAAAACAAAAAAGAGAAGAAGGAGGAGGAGGAGGAGGAAGAGAAGAGGGAGGGGGAGGAGAGGGGGAGGGGGAGGAAGAAGACAACAATGAAGACAAAGGAAGGAAGAAAAATGGGAAATAAAAGCAGAATAAGTCACTATATGTTAATATTGTGCTGAATCTGAGCAACATTGAGCTTCACCAAATAACTTTCTAGTAAGTTCACTTTCCACACAGGTTACCTAAGGGGGAATACCCTGGTTAGCAAAAGTAAACATACAGTACACCTGGCAATTATGGTTCTCATCATAAATAAATGAACTGGTACTCTGTTTCACATATCCACCTCTACAAATCTTCTCAGTGTGGATCCATAACTCATGGTTGATCACCTCAGAGGCACTAAGGAGATAGGTACTTGAACCTAAAAGGATGTGGGTCACATTCAACAATATAAAGCTTATACCTCATGGTGTATCTTAGAAACCTATGTGTTACCCATTCCTCCCCATTTGCTATAAGAATTTCCTTCCTTACACTGCCAACATACCATACCAAAATCAAACAAAAACCACTTAAGTAAACTCTCAAATCAAGGCAATGGGTCAGGCATAGTGGCATATGCCTATAAACCCAGCAACTCAGGAGGCTGAGGCAGAAGGATCACAAGTTTGAGGCCAGTATGGGGAATTTAGGGAGACCCTGTCTTAAAAAATAAAAAGGACTACAAAAGTAGCTCAGTAGAAGAACACACCTGGGTTCAACCTCCAGTACTGCTGCCCCCCCCCCCAAGAAAAGAATCATGCCCTTCAAGAAAACCATATGGAAACAGGGCATCATGATGTGTGACTGTAATCCCAGTGACTCAGAAGGCTAAGGCAGGATGATAGAGAGTTCAAAGCCAGCCTCAGTAAAAGCAAAGTGCTAAGCAAAGAATGTGACCCTGTCTCCAAATAAAATACAAAACAGGGCTGGGGATGTGGCCCAGTGGTTGAATGCCCCTGAGTTCAATCCCAGTACCCAAAAGAAACAAAACCATATTGGGGAAAAAAAATGGAAAAAAAAGTACTTGTCTTGTGCATGCAAGATAAGTACTCTACCAACTCTACTAACAAAGCACAAATATCAACTATATAATCATTTTAATTTATCTTTTTAAATTTATCTAATTTATCTTTTTTTTTTTTTTTTTTTTTTGATGGTGCTGGGGATTGAACCCAGGGTGCATGTGAGGCACTCTACCAACTAAGCTACACTGCCAGCTCTTTAAAGAATTTATCTTACAGAGGGCTGGGGTTGTGGCTCAGTGGTAGAGCGCTCACCTTGCACGTGAGAGACCCTGGGTTCGATCCTCAGCACCACATAAAAATAAATAAACAAAATATATTGTGTCAATGTATAACTAAAAAAATATTTTTTAAAAAATGTTATTTAAAAAAAAACACAATCAGCATATGGTATCTCCTAATTATGATAACAAATTAATGAAGTAGCTTGTAATTTGGTTCAAACTGCTCAGATTTTAAATTAAAATATAATCTAGTAACCCTACTACATTTAAAAAAATTTTTTTTTCTTAGTTGTTGATAGATCTTTATTTTATTTATTTATACGTGGTGCTGAGAATCAAACCCAGTGCCTCACACATGCCAGGCGAGTGCGTCACCACTAAGCCAGTCCCAGTCCAACCCTACTACATTTTAACAACTGCATGGGTTGCTAAATTAAAGCAACACAACTCTGCATATTGCTACATTGATATCATTCACAGATATTCAGAAACAACAAACAATTCAAGTTACCCTGAGATCTGACATCAGTTTCTTGTCAAGGGTCTGCTCCAAGAAATGAGAACTGACTTGCTCCATAGAGCCCTGTAAAAGGAAAGAATCCAGAGCATATTAAACAACTTTTATTATTTGAACATTAGCTTAATATTCAAAATTTGCATTCAACTTAAATGTATAAAGATAGTAAAGATGCCTATGGGTTCTAAATCATCTGGAAGACAATAAAAGTAATAGTAATAGTATCAACTGCTGCAGCTCACATATGCACAGAGCTTACTATATGTCTCAAAGCTTTATTCATATCTTAACTCATTTAATCCTCATTACAATCCTGTGAAGTAAATACTATTATTAGTCCTCTTTTATATATGGAGGGGGAAAAAAGCACCAAAAACATTAAGTAATACATTCTCTGTCACAAAGAGAGTAAATACCTGAACTGATATATGAACTCAGACTGTACAACTCTTTGCCTTAACTACTACTGTTTCCTGTTTCTTCATTCCTTTTATTCCATTCTTTCCATTCATTTGTTCATTCATTCATTTACTCAATCAATAAAACAAACATTTATTTAGCAATGATTCAATTATATACCTATAGCTACCAGGACCAGGAATACAAAAATAAGAGACACCAACACTATAAACAGTGAGCTGGCAAACAATGAGGGAAACCGACAAGCAAAAAGATAACTGCCTTATGGTATGAAATCCTACAATACACATTTATAAAGGATGCTATGGGAATTGAGACAACAAGCAGTAGGGAGTGGAGGCAGGAAGAGAGATGTTTGGGAAATCAGATATCACAGTACAAATGCATGATGTACAAGAGAATGCCATGTGGGAAACATTCAATGGTTTTATGAATGGGACAGGACAGATAGGTAGAGATCAGATTATAAAGTCTTGTTTGCTAGGAGGAAGGAGTTACCTTACATGAAAAATAATTATAATCTCCATTAAACACTTAATGAAGTCAACCATATGCAAAATATTTTACTTATATTTTTAAAATTTATCCCTCCTAATAAGCCCATGAAGAATGTACCTTTATTACCCTTTTTTTTTTTTGGTACCAGGGATTAAACCCAGGGATGCTCAACCACTGAGTCACATCCCCAGCCCTTTTTTATATTTTAGAGACAGGGTCTTGCTGAGTTGCTTAGAGTCTCACTAACTTCCTGAGACTGGCTTAGAACTCAAGATCCTCTTGCCTCCGCCTCCCAAGCTGCTGGGATTACAGGTGTGTGCCACCACTCCCAGATATTATCCCCATTTAAAGGTGAGAAATTGAGGCTGAGAAATAAGATAAATTGCTTCTTTGGAGTAAGGGAGAGCATGGATTTATACTTCATAAAGTGCATCTTGCAGCAATGTGGCTAATGGATCAGAAGGAATCAAAACGGAAGCAGAGAGATCAGTTCAAGAAGCTATAAACCAGGCACGGTGGCACATGCCTGCAATCCCAGAGGCTCAGGAATCTGAGGCAGGACAAGCACAAGTTTGAGGCCAGCCTGGGCAATTCAATGAGACCCCATCTTAAAATTTTTGAAAAAGGGTTAGGGGTGTAGCTCAGTGTTAGAGCACTTACTTGCCTACTAATATAAGGAGTCCTGAGTTCAATCCTCAGTACTGCCCCCCACCCCAAAGGCTATATAAAGCAGGTCATAGACATCTCCTAAGGCATATATCTGAGACATTTTCCAATTTCCATGTATAAAAACATGAAAATGCTTACACAGGCATAGATCTTTTCTCCAACCACATTTTCATAGAAAATTACATGTTCTTTGTGAATATCAAACAGACCCTTTCCTCTGACTCTATAAGAACAATTTTACTATTTTTGACTAAAGTAGTTTCAGATTAACTTTTATTTTATTTAACCTTTATTTTTTATTTATTTGTTTTTTATGTGGTGCTAAGGATCGAACCCAGTGCCTCACCCATGCTAGGCAAGCACTCTACACTGAGCCACAAGCCCAGCCCTCAAAATGACTTTTTATCACAACCTAGTTGTTTGCTACATAGATCTGTACTAATGTCAGACCTAAACATTTTTATTCAAACATCAATCTTATGAGTAAGAAACATTAATTTTTATGGTCTCCTAACTTTCTCTCTCTTTTTTTAAACTTGTTTTTACTTAGTTGTTTTTTATGTAGTGCTGAGGATTGAATCCAGTGCCTCACCCATGCTAGGCTACCACTCTACACTGAGCCACAACCCCAGCTCCCCTAACTTTCTCTTTAATTATCCCACCATTATCAGTAGTTGGCTTTTCAAGAAGCATTTCTTCCTCACAAAGAACAAAGGACTGAATGATTATGCAGTAAGTTAGTCCATCCATAGTTTCCAATGACTCTTTGACTGCCTCAGCTGAGCTCTCTCCCCACAATACAGAAGACATCAAAAAATTATATATCACTTGAAGTTAATTTTAAGTGTCACAAAGCTTTCCATCTGAATCCACAAATGCCAAGAGCCATATACATAGGAATCCACTTAAAAAATAGTGACACCTAAATTAGCATGGGCCAAGCAGAAATGGAGAATGGACGGATTCAGGTGATGTCCAGGAGGCAGAACTGATATGAGCTGATGACTCAATGGATAAAGAACAAAGAAAAAGAACTCACAAATTTCTCTATTCCAGATCTTAGTAGAAGATACCATCCTTCAAGAAAATACAAGAGGTGCAGGTTTGGGTCAAAAAGATAATAAATTCATCAAAACATGCACCAATTAGAAAAACATCCATATTCTTGTCTATTTTAACCAAAACAAAAAGAATCAGGTAAGATGTATAACTAATATGCTTAACAAATTAAAATTGCAACACTATCCAAGTATAATCTATATAATCTCAGCAAATCGGGAGGCTGAGGCAGGAGGATCTCAAGGTCAAGGCTAGCTATAGCAACCTAGAGAGACCCCATCTCAAAATAAAAATTCGTATTTTTTTTATTTTGAGACTAAAGAAAATGAACCAGGAATGTAACTCAGGGGTAAAACTTCCCTGGGTTCAATCTCCAGTACTAATTAGTTAATTAGATAGTTTTTTTAAATATTTTTTTTAGTTTTACATGGCCTTTATTTCACTTTTTTATATGCAGTGCTGAAAAGCAAACCCAGTGCCCCTCACATGCTAGGCAAGCACTCTACCTAGCTTGCCTTAGATAATTTAATTAAATAATTTAAAATGCTAAGAAAATAATTCACTGGACAACTTAATAAACTGTCTCTGAAACGAGATATTTAATAAACCAGTATCAAACAGGTTTTCAGAGTAAAACTTATACTTTATTAGTATAAAAAACATAAATCCGTGTATGCACCCTTTCTTTATTCTAGTTTTAAAATGTTATGGTTTGGATCTGGTATGTCCCCTTATGTGTCATGCATTGATGACATGGCCATCAATGAAGCAATGTTCAGAGATGGGGCTTTTAAGAAATTATTAGGAGGCCAGGGTTGTCACTCAGTGATAGAGTACTTGCCTAGCATGCATGAAGCACTAGATTTGATCCCCAGCACCACATAAAAAAATAAAAACAAATAAAATAAAGGTATTGTGTCCATCTACAACTTAAAAAAAAAAGAAGAAATCATTAGATCATGAGGACTCTAATCTCATTGGTGGATCAATTCATTTGATGGATTAATAATTTGAATGGATTGTTGGGATGTGATGGAAACTGTAGGAGGTGGATCCTAGTTGTAGGAAGTATGTCACTAGGGCTGTGCCCTAGAAGCACGTGTACACCTTCATCCCCCACTCCACCCCACCCCTCATCTCCTCCCTGCTTCCCAGCTGTCATGAGTGGGACAGCTTTCATCTACAATGTCCTTCTGCCATAATGTTCTGCTTCACCTCATCCAAAGCAATGGAGCCAGTCAACCATGGATTAAAATCTCTAAAACCATGAGCCAAAAAATCTTTCCTCCTTTACATTTTCACGTCAGGTATTTTAGTCACTACTACAAAAAGCTGACTACCACATAAAGCTTCTAGCTTCTATCTAATTAGTTAATTAAAAAAGAAACCGAAAAACAACTGAGATAGATTAGTGCATCAGTCATTAAACTGCCACTAAGGAGAATATCTGCATTTGCCTCAGGAAAGGCCAATCCTTGGCAGACTCTCAGGCATAAAAATCAACAAATCACAATCTTAAAATGTTATAACATTTTAAGATCCAAAAGTTCAAAGACTTTTGGGAGTTTGCAAATACCAATTAATCCTTTTGACTAAGAGAAATTGAACATCGTAAGAAATCATTGAACTGAAGACCACATCCTAGATAGAATGTCAATACTAGGCTTAATTTCAAAGTAGTGACTATACTCTAAATAGTTCCATGGATCTGCTTATTTAGAAATTAAGTTTTTTTTTTTTGTCCCCTTCAGGCAGTTATAAAAAACAACAACAACAACAACTAAAAGCCATTCTCTTTCACATAGTTCACATGGTTTTGAATTTCCCTTCCTTTTTTTGGTACTGGGGATTAAACCCAGGAGTGCTCTAGCACTGAGCTACATCCCTAGTTTTCTTTCCTTTTTTTTTTTTTAATTTTGAGATAGCATCTCTCTAAATTGTTGAAGGTTTCACTAAGTTGCTAAGACTGGCTTCAAACTTGGATCCTCCTGTGTTAGTCTCCCAAATCGTTGTAATTATAGGCATATGTCACCACACCTGGATAAATCTTAGTCTTATTATCTATAAAATGAATAACATAATATCAACCAAAGAATTTAAAAGGATTAAAAAATTACTTACAAATAGTATGTATATGAGGTTATGTATACATGCGTATAGGTATGTGTGCTTCCATATAAGTGTGTGTGTGTGTGTGTGTGTGTATGTGTATACGTATGACTTAAGAGTCTAGTTTAGTAAGCTAGAAACTCTATAATATTATTAGAAAAATTAAGTTATTGATTAATGATACTAGGAATCAAACTCAGAGGAAGCACTCTACCACTGAGCTATACCCCAGCCCTATTAATTACTTCTGAATACAAACATAATTACTTATGTAATATGAAACTTTTCATATTTTAAATCATTAAACATAAAGCACCTGACTCAAGTTTAAGAATCATCCAAATAGAAATCCTTTCAATATACCATTCATTATTCATACATCTTTATAGAAATAGATTTTAAATCCTTTGCAGGTACAGAACAACATTGTCAATGATCCTGCTTTAATAATTATTTTTCAAAACTACCTACTCAAGATATATCATTAAATTATTCCTCTAAAACATATTCCCTCCATCATGGGGGCAAGGTGCTGCATGCCTGTAATCCCAGTGACTCAGAAGGCTGAGGCAGAAGGATAAAAAATTCAAGGCCAGTCTCGGAAATTTAGTGAGACCCTCAGCAAATCAGCAAGACCCTACTTCAAAACAAATAATAAAAAGGACTGGGGGCTGGGGCTGTAGCTCTGCAGCAGAGTGGTTGCCTAGCATGAGTGAGGCACTGGGTTTCATCCTCAGCACCACATAAAGATAAATAAAATAAAGACATTCTGTCCATCTACAACTACAAAAAATATTTTTAAAGAAAGGACTGGGACTTAGTAGTTCATTGGTAAAGTGTGCCTGGATTCAATCTCCAGTACCTAAATAAATAAATAAATATTCCCTCCGCTCAAAGACAAGTTCATTGTAGATGATGATGATCAGTAATTGTTGAATAAAAGGACTTGATGAATGATTGGACTATTTCATAATTTTAAAACATGGACTGGGGTTGTGGCTCAGCAGTAGAGTGCCTGCCTAGCACGTGTGGGGCCCTACGTTCAATCCTCAGCACCACATATAAATTAATAAAATAAAGGTATTGTGTCCAACTACAACTAAAAAACAAATATTTTTTTAAAAATCATGCCAGGGATATAATTCAGTAGTAGAGTACAAGTCTGATATGCACAAAACTCTGGGTTCAATCCCTAGTTCCAAAATATAAAATAAAATAAAAACACTCATAAACCAAAACCAAATTTGAATCCAAAACAGAATCACTGTTAGCTTAACTCCACTTAATTATAAACAAGTAATATAATCCATTGGTAGGAAATTCTGAAATTACCCATATTTATTCTTTATTATTCCATGAAAATGCTTCACATAAGTTTCAGTACTTACTCCAATAAATACTGACCACAATACTATAGCAATCACTGGATCTGTGCCTAGGGCAGTCAGATCCAAATAATTCAGCCAACAATCTCATCAATAGTGGCAATGCTAGTAGCCAAAGGAGAAGTGTATAAAAAGAACCTCAGATTTTCTTGCTATGACATACAAATACTTATATATACTCATATATATGTATATACTACAATCCCTACCAAGTTCACATAGTACTTTACAATTTACAAACCTTTTCTTAGAAAGTATCCCATTTGAGCCAGGCATAGTGGTGCATGCCTATAATCCCAGTGGCTCAGGAGGCTGAGGCAGGATGATCATGAATTCAAAGCCAGCCTCAGCAAAAATGAGGTACTAAGCAACTCAGTGAGACCCTGTCTCTAAATAAAATACAAAATAGGGCTGAGGATGTGACTCAGTGGTTGAGTGCCCCTGGGTTCAATCCCTGATACCCTCCCAAAAACGAAAGTATCCCATTTGAGCATCGTGACAACATGTGAGGCAAAAATGAGAGATATTAAAGCCCCATTTAACAGTGAAGATACTGAGACTAAAATCAAGGGACATATCCAATGTAACAAAGATAAGCTAATTATCAGGCCAATACTCTAAAGATAGTTCTATCCCAGTACCAAAAAAAAAAGGATATCTCTACCCTAAAAAGTTTTGTTGTTGTTATTGTTTAAACAAATGTGCTATGGCCAGGCACACTGGCACATGCCTATTATCCCAGTGACCCAGTGACTCGGGAGGCTGAGGCAAGAGTATCTCAAATTAGACACCAGCCTTGGCAACTTAGTGAGATTCTGTCTCAAAATAAAAATAAACAGGGGGTCTCAGAGTTCAGTGGTAAAACATCCCTGAGTTAAATCCCCAGAACCACAAAAATAAAAACAAACAAACAAATAAAAACGTGCTATGAATAGGAAAGAGCCAAACTAAAAGAACATTAGGATCTGAATCCCACTATATAATTTTCTGTTTGTATAAACTGGATGATTTACTTAACTTCTCAGTGTGTCAATTTTCCCATCTGAGAAAAAGGAATAATAATATCTATCTTGCAGGGTTGCTATGAAGAGTAAATGAGAAAACAAATGTAAAGGGCAGCCTTGAAAATATTTAGGCCATAACAGGTGCTTAATAAACAGAGGCAACTATTTTTGTTAATTTCCTCTGTCTCTAAGCCTTGGCTATCTTGTATGCTAACAAGGTTAAATAGTATTATCTGTGAGATCTTTCTAATTCTAAAGAAGACTACTTATCTATAAGAAAGTAAGCTATGTATTTCTATAATAAGAAATTCTGAGGTTTCTAAAAATGACCCACACCTGTCCCTATCTATAGTTTCTGAAAATGTTTATGAAAACGTAGTAGGAGCTGGGCATGGTGGGACACGCCTATAAATCTCAGCTACTTGGGAGGCTTAGGCAAAGGGATCACAAGTTGGAGGTCAGCTTAAACAATTTAGCAAAAGACCCTGTCTCAAAATAAAAAATAAAAATGGCCAGGAATGTAGCTCAGAGGTAGAGCACCCCGGTGTTCAATCTCCAGTACCATACATACATACATATTAAAAAAGACTTAACAGGCAATGTGTTTGCTAAAGAAAGTGTATTTTAATCAAGCAGAGTTAAGTAGTACATGCCTATAATTTCAACTACTCTGGAGACTAAGGTGGAGGATCTCAATTTCAAGGCCAGTCTGAGCAACTTTGGGAAACCCTCTCCCTAAAGAAAATAATAAAAGCACTGAGGATATATCTCAGCTGATAAAGTATCCATGGATTCAATCCCAAACAGGGGGGAAAAAAGTGCAGCTTACCAATAGCTTTGCAGCTTGAACACGAACCACCCAGGAGCCATCACTGACCATGTGACAAATTTTTCCAAATGCATCATCAACTAAACGAATTTCTTCGTTAGAAGAAGGGATTGGGACAATGCTAGATTAAAAGAAAAGTAGAAAAAACACATGAACATGAGCCCAAGACTGCAAGTTCAATAAACTAAGAATGACCAATGAAAACTGATACACAGGGAATGATAATTGAGCAATACAGTTCAAATCCTAGAATGATGAAACACATTTCAACTTAAACAAGTCTAATTGGAAGTATAAACCAACCCTTCTACTGCACTGCAAATTTTCAGTGTCATAAATAAAAGTGTGTAACCTACCAAAGGTTCAAAGATTCATGAAGAAACCAAGAACCTGGGGTTGGTAGTATAACTCAGTTGTAGAACACATGCCTAGCATGGTAAGGTTTTGTGTTCAATCCTCAGAACCATCACCCCCACCCCCAAGACACATACACAGAGAAAAAAGAAAGAAGAAATGAAAAACACTACAGAGTATTTTGTAGCCATTTATTATCTCCTATAATGGTACTACTACAATACAATAGACCTCAGAGTAAATCAACAATTTAACCTCTGTGAAAATACTTTTAACCAAGAAAACTAGTGATCATTATTCTCAACACACACCTGGTACCTTAGTTGGCATTTGGCCCAAACAAAAACTAAATTAAATGGATCTCAAACAATATTAGTGACTAACACCCCCCCACTGCTGCCCCCCCAAAAAAGCTAAGACACTTGAGAGTTCAGTCTCTTCAATTACAGTTAAGAAGACTGACTGGGACCCAAAAAGGTGAAGTATCTTTCCCAAGAAACACAGAAAGTTTACGGCAGAGACTGAAACACAGGACCAAGCATCCTGATTTGCAGGGCCTGTGCCTGATCCCTTCCACACTGCCTTCCAGAATTCTAACCAACATTCTTTTCCTGGAGGTAGCTTTATGCATGGTGAAAGGAGAGAAAATGGCTTAGCAATAAACAAACAGAAGTCAGCTTACACTCACACTGACCTTTCAGGATAGAGCTGACTGATAACCCAGATAAGCTGGACTGCAGCACTGCGTACTTGTTCATAGTCATCAGAGAGCAATTTACAGGCCTGAAAAGAAAGATTCCAAAAGTCTATCAGTTCTGTGTCCTCCTAGGTGATGTTCAAACTATTTTAAAATGAAGATATGGTGACTGGGTAAGGATGTCAATCAAAAATGGATGGTTTTAACTTCTTGAACATTTATCCACCCAAGAATTCTGAGCCTCTGTCAGCTGCTCTAGTTATATTTGGACTGTGGGTCCTGCCACTTTATATCTGAAAGCAGAACAACAGACTGACAGATACCTAGAATTCTATCAAACCTAGCAGAATCTGCTGGAAGCCCACTATACTTCTTTCACAGGCTCACACACCAAAGATGGATCCCCCCCACCACCACCATCTGTAAAATCAAAGCACACATTTCTGTTTATTTTGGTACAACATCACTGGCCTCTGTTTCAACCTACTAACATTTCCTGTATATCCCCATGTACCCAAGATATGGTGATGGCTCCAAGTATCTACCACCAGCTCAAATTTCTCCTGACCCAAATGTTCTTAACTGTCTATGACCTGGAACTTTCTTCATGGATATCCCACTTTCAATCTTAACACAACTAAAACCAAACTCATTCTGGAACCAAACTCTACTTTATATTTCAAATCCTCCACCAGCACTCTATCTTCATTCCCTTGAGGTCCTCATCATTGATGGCCTACATTACTGACACAGTCCTATGCCATTAACATCTGAATCAGTTGACTATCTTTTTTCTGTGTCCTTAGTCTCCAAGTTTTCTTTAGTTATTGGACTTCCCACAATTATCCTATAGGGGGAAAAGAGATGGTTACATAAGCATTCTGGACCCATTCCACTTTGTCTTGTGAAAGAACAAATATGGTATACACATCAGTCACAGAGGCTTGCTAATTATAATTTTCTCCAAGAGACAAAAGCATTCTTGGTAAGCAAAAAAAATCTGACCACTGACTGTGGATTTAGATTGTATATCACTAGATTTATTCCCTTATTCTGCAAGAGAAATACTACCTGCCAAGGTCCTTTATATAGGCTGTCAGTTAGCTTTTCCACAACTTGATCATACCATTCTTTACCAATACTACATTCAGGAAAGATCTTTTTATGGGATCTCATGGTTTTGGTCACCCTCTTCCAGAAATATTCTAGTTCATCAAGTGCGGTGTCCAAAATTGATTTCATATACAGCCCACTCAAAGAGAGATCAGCAAGACTACCACTTTCCTTATTCTAAACATTATACTTTACTTCATGAACTCTGGTATTCATATTGAGCTTCCTAGATCCTCCTTCATGTATTAGTGCTATTATTCAATTATATACTCCAATTTAAAAATCAAAAGGGGCTGGAATGTAGCTCAGTGATAAATAAAGCACCCTGGGTTCAATTCCCAGTACCAAAATAAACAAACTAATAAAAAATAAAATAAAAGTTGCATCTGAGTTATATTTTATTTGCTATCAAATTTTAATAAGACAAAAAATGTCTAAATTTTTTAAACTCTTCTTGAAAAGTATGTTTTGGATATGATTGCACATTTATCCCAATTAGCATGGCCACAATTAGCCAGTTGAAATTCTTATGTTTTCAAACTCTGAGAACCAGAGTGGCCACCCTCCCAGTTTCATGACCCTCTCACCCTTTCAGACAGAAATCATTTAAGGTAAAATACCTGATTATAAATTGTTTGGTGTAATTTCAATCCTCTTTCATGAAGCTGCAACTGGATAAAAAAAGACAGTTTAAGTATTTGTATTTAAGTATTTTTTAAGTATTTGTGGAAAGATCAATATTTCCAATGTCTCCACACAATCTCATATATTTTCCCACATTATATAAGAGTAACATAGTTCCTTTCAGGCAAAATCAGTCTTATATAAATAAGATAGTCCAAGATTTTATTTAAACATAGTCCAAGATTTTTTAGCATAAGCACTCAAGCATTTAAAAAAATTAATCCATGGAATATTCCAAGGGAGTACTAGGAAACTGAAATAATGACAAAACAGCTAAGGAAGAAGTAAGAGGTATAGCTCAGAGGTAGAGTGCTTGCCTCGCATTCACAAAGCCCTGGGCAAAAACTAAAAACAAACATAATGAAAACCATCCCCCGATTAGTTTCAATAATAATCAAATTTACCATGGCTTTTATTGCTGCTGTTCTGACACGTGGATCTTGGTCATTGAAATAATCCCCTATAATCTTCTGGACATCTCTGGCAGTTAGGCCTTCTGCATCTTTTGTGATACTTTTTTCCAAAGAGCCAAGATTGCCAAGTAATTGCAAACACTTATTTCTTACACCATGAGAGGTATCTGTTAAGTGCTATAAAAAGAGAGAACAAAAGGACATGATTAATATCTTTAAAAATAAACACATAAGGGCTGGGTGTGTAGCTCAATGGTAGGATGCTTGCCTCGTATGCATGAGGCCCTGGGTCCAATCCCCCCCATACACACACACACACACACCACAAATTTAAAAAAAAAGAAAAAGAAAAGAGAAAGAAAAAAAAGCATTGCATCAATTTCAGGAATGATTTCGATCAATATATTCGCACCAATCTGTTTAGCATCATGTTACTTGAATATTCCTCTAACACATGAAACTTTAGAAAACAAGAATCCCATTTTTTATTTTTTAACTTTTATATCCCCAATTGCCAGCATTTTGACTTGTACATACAGAGTACATACTTTAATCTCAGTGACTTGGGAGGCTGAGGCAGAAGAATAAAAAATTCAAAGCCAGCCTGAGCAACTTAGTGAGGACCTAAGCAACTTATCAAGATCCTGTCTCAAAATTTAAAATTGCAAAGGGGCTGAAATTAGCTCAGTGGTAAAACACCCTGGGTTCAATTCCCAGTACCCAAATAAACAAATTAATAAAAAATAAAATAAAAGTTGTGTCTAAGTTATATTTTATTTGCTATCAAATTTTAATAAGACAAAAAATGTCTAAATTTTTTAAACTCTTAATATCCATAAAGCAATATACAAAACTCTTTAAGTGAAGAGTTCAATGGGTTTTCACAAAGAGAATACACACATAACAAGAATACACATTGGGGCTGGGGTTGTGGCTCAGCGGTAGAGCACTTGCCTAGCATGTGTGAGGCCCTGGGTTCAATCCTCAGTACCACATAAAAATAAATATATAAAATAAAGGTATTGTGTCCAACTACAACTAAAAGATAAAAATAAAAATAAAAATATAAATAAATAAATATATAAAAAGAAAGAAAGGAATGGGGGCTGGGGCTCAAGCGGTAGCGCGCTCGCCTGGCATGCATGCGGCCCGGGTTCGATCCTCAGCACCACATACAAAGATGTTGTGTCCGCCAAAAACTGAAAAATAAATATTAAAAAATTCTCTCTTTCTCTCTCTCTCTCTCTTTAAAAAGAAAAAAGAAAGGAATGGAACACAGCAAGGCATGGTGGCACATGCCTGGAATCTTAGCTACTCGGCGAGCTGAGACAGGAAGACCCCAAAGTTCAAGGCCAACCTTGGCAATTCAGTGAGGTCCTATCTCAAAATAAAATTAAAAAGGGGTTGGAAATGTAGCTTGGTCATAGAGCACCTCTGTGTTCAATCTCTAGTACCAAAGGCTGGGGATGTGGGGATGGGTATGGAATGTGAGGCGCTGGGTTCGATCCTCAGCACCACATAAATGTAAAATAAAGATACTGTGTCCACCTAAAACTGAAAAATAAATATTGAAAAAAAAAAGATCAAATCAATAGTATCTGGTTTCTTTTGCTTAACTTATGTTTGTGAGATATATCCATGGTACAGCACCTAAAATGATTCGTTCATTGTCATTACTATGTACTATTTTATTTACAAATACAACAAAATCTATTATTCCTTTCTGTTGATAGGTATTTGAGCTATTTATAGTTTTTGGTATTAAACTAATGCTACTATAATTATTCTTATGTGTGGTGTTTAGTGCATATGGCCACATTTCTGTTAGTTATATACTTAAAGTGGAATTGCTGAGCCAAAGGAAATGCACAAAGTCAGCTTAAGAAGATACTGCCAAACAGTTTTCCAGTGTGGTTAACTTATTTTAATTTACACTTCCACCAGTGGTGCATAAGTCCTCCATGTGTGCCATATCCTTGTCAACACTTGGTACTGTCAATATTTTTCATTCTAGCTCCTCCTCACCAACATTTTAAATAAATTATCAGTTACTTCTCTCATACCTAGTTCAGTGCTAGTAAAATAAGCTGTAAGGCAGTAACAGGAACAAAATATTATTTGAAGAAATGAAGTTGTATACCAGACTTTCAAATTTTTTCTGACTAGGACCCAAAGCTAGAAATTCACATTATATTAAAACATAATACAGGGCTGGGGATGTGGCTCAAGCGGTAGCGCACTCGCTTGGCATGCGTGACGCCCGGGTTCGATCCTCAGCACTACATACAAATAAAGATGTTGTGTACGCCGAAAACTAAGAAATAAATATTAAGAAATTCTCTCTCTCTCTTTAAAAAAAAATATTTAAAAAAAATAAAAATAAAACATAATACATAAAAATATACATACAAGAAGCTAAACAAAACAATATTCACCCCTACGTCTTGTGATAAACCCTGATATTTGTATTCTCTTTTGTTTTTCAAAATATACCAACTGTCCCATAAAATTGACTGCATTACCTACTAACGTATCATTATCCTCAGACTGAAAGGCATTTATATGGAGAAGAGAATGGAACTTGAAATTTTAAAACCTGGGTTTAAGCTGGGCGCAGTGGTGCACACCTGTAATCCCAGTGGCTGGGGAGGCTGAGACAGGAGGATAACAAGTTCAAAGCCAGCCTCCACAAAAGTGAGACGATAAGAGACTCAGTGAGACCCTGTCTCTAAATAAAATACAAAATAGGGTTGAGGATGTGGCTCAGTGGTTCAGTGCCCCTGAGTTCAATCCCTGGTACCAAAAAAAGAAAACACCCTAGGTTTACAGAGTTCCTTAGAGACATAGCTAGTTTTGAGACTAGGGCAAAAAATAAGTAAGAAGAACACAGGACACCTTATGCTAGAAAGCAAGGAAGATTTCTAAGACTAATGGAGTTCTGACCAAAAGGACTGAGAAACCAATCTATAGGGGTTTCTGCTGTCAACACTTTCATGACATCAAAAGGAATTCAGAATGTAAACTATTCCACAAGACAAATGACCCAGTTTCTTCAATATACCCATAGCATTTAAAGAAAATACAAAAGAAGCCAGGCGTGGAGGCGCATGCCTAGAATCCCAGCGGCTCAAAGGCTGAGGCAGGAGGATCATGATTTCAAAGCCAACCTCAGCAACCACGAGGTGCTAAGCAACTCAGTGACACCATGGCTGTAAATAAAATAGAAAAAAGGGCTAGGGATGTGACTCAGTGGTTAAGCTCCCCTGTGCTCAATCCCTGGTAACAACAACAAAAAAGGGCTTTGGATTTGGCTCAGTGGCCAAGTGCACCAGAGTTCAATCCCTGGTACCAAAACAAAAAAGGAAGTACTATTATAAATTAGAAATTTAAGAGACTGTCTAAAACCAATATGTGGATCTTTTTGGATCCTAATCTAAATCAAACCAACCATAACAGGGCATATTTAATGAAATTTTAAAATTTTAATATAAATTGGTATGAGATGATATTAAGGAGTTACTGTTAATAATTATAATAATTAAAAAATATACTACCATTAGAGACACACAATTAAGTATTTGCCATTTAAATAACATGATGATGTTAGGGATTTACTTTAAATCACTCTAACAGACAACAACAAAAAGTGAAAGGGGAGAAGAGATGAAAAATATTGCAAATTGTGGGATTTATACTCAAAACTGGAAAGAATAATAAATTGAAATTTTCCATAATATTAAGGGTTTTTTTGTTGTTGTTAAAAAAAAAAAAAAAGACCTGGATTCAAGTTGCAGCTGTGACTCACTAGCTATAGAATATTTAGTCAAGTCACTGGACCTCTCAGAATCTTACTGTTCTGTCATTTGCCTTACTTAATATATAGATTTATTAAGAGGCTCAAATTAGGAACATAAATGTGAAAAACTTTATTATAAGCCATGATATGACTATTAGCTATTGTTACTATAATCTAAAATAAGGAAAGTAGAAAGTCATATATAAAGCATATATAGTACTCTTCTAGAGATTGTATGTTCCATTACTAGGAAGGGAGGGAGACGATGGTAGGGCAAGAAGAAAGATGGAGAGAGAAATTAATTATGTATATTTCAAATTAGTGATTTTATTTGTGGATAGTTCTTTGTGAAAGGAACTATCTAAAAATACTTGTTTTTGCAGCTGTACATGTAGTTATCACCTTGCAAAACTATATATGCTTTATATATGACTTTCTACTTTCCTTATTTTCCAGTAAGTAGCCCATGTATTCATACATTATTAGGCATTATCACTTAATCCTATCATTCTTTTTTTCTTTTTCTGCAGTTCTGGGGATCAAATCCATGGTCTTGTGCATGCTAGGTGAGGACTCTACCACTGAGCTAGTCCCCTAACGTGGGCTACTTACTGGAAAAGCTAATTCAGGAATCAAAATTTCCTTATACTTACTCAATCCAATTCTCACTTCTCATACAGCTGCATTATTTTCTTTCTTTCTTCCTTCCTTCCTTCCTTCCCTTCCTTCCTCCCTCTCTTCCCTCCTTCCCTTCCTTCCTCCCTCCCTCCCTTCCTTCCTTCCTTCCTTTTTTCCAGTTATTGGGGACTGATCCAGGGGTGTTTTACCACTGAGCTTTATCTCAGTACTTTTTCTTCTAGGGGTAGTGGGGTACTGGGGATTGAACTCAGGGGCACTCGACCACTGAGCCACATCCCTAGCCCTATTTTGTATTTTATTTAGAGAAAGGGTCTCACCAAGTTGCTGAGGCTGACCTCATACTTGAGATTCTCCTGCCTCAGCCCCCTGAGTCACTGGGATTACAGACACATGCCACTGCAACCAGCTAATAAGTAAACAATTTCATGATTTTGGAAACTTTGCTCACTATGTTCAAAGGTGAGCATTTGAAACCCAAGTATTTAAAAAGTTCTGCAATACCTATTTTCTTTATATCTATTTATACTCTTACTCACAAGTATCAATATTCTCTACCCATGAAAAGTTCCTCAGGTTTCTAATAGTACCAGATAAATTTAGTGATACTACTCAATAAGCAATTCTTATGATTACCTTTCTGGGCTGCCAACACCTTTTGCAAGTAACACACCCCCATAAACAAATACACAATTCTGAACAAACAGGAAGACATATCAAACAGGTAAACATATCAAGAATAATA